TGAGCGTGTCAGTGAGACTGTGGCATTCCACTGCGTTGCTGCTGCTGGAGGGCCTGGCCATGGGGATGAGGTGCAGTCTGATCCCAGAGACATGCTGTCTTCATAGCCTTTCTTCCTTCAGTGTTATATTTCAGGTAAGCTTTTAGCTTTCTCTAGCAGAAAAGGATGAGTTCTCATAGAGCAGATAGTGGCAATAGCACTAACACACTTATAAAATACCCTATGTTTATGACCACTTCTATGATTGCACAAACCAACTTCCCCAGGGCTCTGTTTTGCATTGTGGAGGGGAGTGGTGATGTTGCCTGTTCCCCCATGCCCCCCTCTGCAGTATCTGCTTGCGTGCTTGGAGGTTGTGCAGTAGCAGAGCAGCACTCCCAGTCCTTAGATTGTGGGATCCCACCCAAAATCAGGGCAGAGAACTGATCCAGTACAAAACCAGACCTGAAGCAACCTGATTGGAAGTGCATGGGAGTCTGTAACCAGTGCTGCGCTTTGCTGTCATGTCAGACCATGCTGATACTACTTCTTGTCACTGACATTCACAGAAAGTATGAGTTAAACCATTCTTAAAGCCTAAGCAAATACTAAGTGCTCAGGATGCATTTCCATGTATGTTGCTAATAGTTTTGGTGCAGCATATGTTCTTTGCTCACCCCTCATCTTGTCTTCCTTTGCCAAAGCAGTTCCCCATGACCCCTTCCAGCCTTCTTTTATTGCACATTTGAGGAGCCCCTGATCTGTGGGGCAGCACAATGGTACTAAGGGGCAGAGTGAGATAAGAGCAAGTGCCTGGAGATAGGGGAGTAACTCTGTGGTACTTCCCAAGGTGTAAAAATACTCTCTTGGGCTCTGTAGCCAAGTCCTCTTTTGCACCTCCCTTGAGAACTAGACAAGCATTGTGCCAAAATGCAGATTTTCAAGTCTGTACCTTAGAAAAGTGTCTTGCTGATGTGATGTTTAGGAGAGACAGGTAACTCATTTCTGCCTGGTCACTGCTATGATGCTTTCAAATTGAGGTTGGTTGAACACTAAAAACATCAAATAGAATAAAAACTGACTTGAGCTTTCTGGTTACCCCCAGGCCATTACAATCCTCTCTAATGAAACTATCTGTTGCAAAAATGGATGAAAGTAATGCTCTTCTTTATTAATCTTTTCTAAATCTCTATCTGGAAATACTTGTCTCCTTTTCATCTTTTTTTTTTCTTCCTTTCCCCTTAAATCCACTGACAATTATTTTAGCAGCTCTATCAATTTGGAGACTCCTTTTAGTGTTTAACTGAAATAACCTGAGAAATGATTGATCGTTAAGGAAAGATGGCAACAATCACCCAAGAACAAATCATGGGGGTGTTCATCAGTTTCTGTGGAGTCAGAATCAGTCTATTGATACAGACAATCTGAAACTCCCTAACAAAAACATAATGAAATATAAAGCAGCTTTTTTTTTTTTTTTTTTACATTTAGGTAAAATGAATTTCAAAGCACTTCTGTAATTTGAAAAGACTAGTGCACTAGCCTTTAGGCTTTTTTTGCCTGAATTTTGGAGAACTGATGACAGTAAGATATCTATGTACCACATACAGCTGTGTAGGTCTTCTGAGGCCGGAGTAATCTTGACATCGATAACAAGTAATTAGCACCCATTGACTTGAGTGGATTAGCAGGGTTATGGGAAAAAGAGAACCTAAAAGAGAACACTAAAAACTCTATAAACCTTTATTAGAACAAGTTCTTTAAAATCTCAAACTCTTATATACAATTAAGTAATGTTGTGACTTTCAAATATTTACATTACAAAATAATTTGGAACAGCTATTTGATAAAATAGTTGAATATACAGTAATTTCATACCAGAAAGTTAACCAAAGTTGATTTTATAGCCTTCCAATGGGTTTAGCATTACAAAAAATATTTTTTTAATCTCAGAGCAAGAGTTATCTATGAATCTATAACTTATGACTGCATAGAAACGAAAAAGAATGTTCCTTTTTGCTGAGGTTACTGTTAGGGTTATGTTCTTTACAAGTCCAGGACTCTTATGGAATTAATTAACTGCTGGCAATGTCAGTAACCTTATGTTTGTAATATTATGGAGGAGTTATTTCTATTTTGTTAAGATACCGATTTTTAACATATGTAGGAGAGATGTTGCCTAATTACCCTTCTTATTATCCATGTATTTCTCAAAAAAATCCTCCTTTGGATCTGTAGCTTTTCCGCCTTCTGCAGAACAAAAAGGCCTCACACTGTAAATTAGATGTCAAATTGCCTTGAAGTGCTGGATAAGTACTGAAATAATTGAGGAAAATGGAAGAAGAGGTAACAGTTCCTTAGGGATCATCACATTTGCTAAACACTGTAGAACAATATACAGTGGAAGAGATTTTCTGTTTGCACGTGTTTTCCTAATTTCTACTGAGGGATGATAATTTGAGTTATAAGTTGCCAGTAGATGTTGCAAGAGGATGGGTTGGCTCAGATCAGGCTGACGATGAGGACATTTTAGAGAGGGTAAATGACATACCCTGGATAATCATAGAGCTCTAACTGAGACATAAGTTCTGGGCAAAATTTATTTTAAAGTTTGATATAGAGATTGATTAATCATGAACACCAGAATAAGAATTAATGCTTATTGGCATGAGTTTACAGAATATAATTCACTCAAGGTAAACTTGACTTGGAACTGTGCAGCATTTTATGTGGCAGAAGGACCACCTAGAATTAACATTAATCCCAAACCATCAACATGCACAACACAGGCTCTTATCAAATGCCACAGCAGAGTGAGGTAGTGCACTGTGCTGTCATTGATGTGTGGCTAGGACAGGATGATGGATCATCATCGTGTCAGAACTGAGTTATAACAAACAATGTCACCTTTGGGCGTTGGTTAATTTTCAAAAGCAAAAAAAATAAAATACAAAAGCAAAGACTCCTTTTTGTCCCAGCTGTGCATCAGCTCTCTTCAGGGAGAAGGTGGTGGATGTTGGACATGGGGCTGTGTGGGCTGGAGCAAGGTAGAGTGAGAGTCACAGGTGGACACTGGGGAACTGCTGACTGCCCTCCAACTGACTGCCCTCCCACTGACTGCCCTCCAACCACGCAGCTGGTAATGGTCCCAAAATACATCTTTTTGTCTTGTACCATTAAAGAAATGTTCTCTGTTTTGGGCATCCTCAGGTTACTGCTTTGCAGACTGTAGGAAGGCTGAGCATAACATATTTTTCTGTTGGAAAGAAGTTGCTAACAAAGCTGCTACTGAAAAATATCTACTACTGTTTTTTAAAATTTTCTGAATTTAAATATTCCACTTTTTTCCCCCCTGCATTATTTTAAACCAATATTCTACAGAATGGGTTTGCTGTCAGGAAACAGTGGAAATGTTTGTAAAAGAAAAAAGTTGACTGAGCTTAAAACACTTTTTTCAAAGTTAAAAACCATCCCAGCAGGGAAAATCTATTTACCATTACTCATCAATTAAATCCAATATTTGTAATAAATAGTTTTGGACAATGATGAAGTGAAGTCTTTTATTCTTTGGGGAAATAACTAATCAAGTCATATTCAATAATGAATGAATGTTGTTAGCTGTAAACATTCTTTCCTTCTATATTGTGACACATCCTTTATTATTCACAAAGGTGAACCATCCTCTGTATTTGTCAGCTGTTAGTGACACTTAGAAGCCATCCCAGAGGCTTGGGGCATTTGTTTTCTCTCTTTAACCAAGATATGCATGATAACTTATTAGTGAGTTATTTGCAGGCAAACTAAAACTGATCATATTAAACATGTATTGAGTGGGAAGGCACTCTATATTTAAATAGAAGGTGAGGATAGGTAGGATATGATAGGGTAGGATATAAGATATGGTAGGATGTGAATTCGCTTTTTTAAATAAGGCAAAGGAAGCTTTGCACGGACATGGATCCGCTTTTACGTGTGTTACATATTTAAACTACATCCCTAAGAGACTTGCTTTAGAAAACCAATGGACACAGTTGTAACATTTATATTCCCACCCTGAGGTATCCCAAGAGTCTCATTTTTTTCAGTGTAATTAAAGGTGACCAGGCACACTTAGAAGTCTATGTCTTTCAAATATTGCAAGCTCAATATTCAACAACAGAAGCAGCAGAAAATGTACTGCATCTGAAAACCTTGACGGAGTAGTCACACATAACACATACTCATCTAAACCTATGTTTGGTGTGAGTACTGAACTGTTCCATTTTTCAAGCTCGCTTATTTAAAAAAAAAGTTTTCAAGTTGAATATTCCTGAAGTAGGTGGTTAGAGAACAGCCCTCGGCAGGGAGGAGACTTACATGGAGAGAGCTAGCCCAGGGCGCTCATCTATGGAGATAATGAACTGAAAGGCAATCTCAAAATAATAGTTTTCACTTCTCCAAAGCCTTTAATTTGAAAACCAAAAAACACACTACAGACAGAGTCCATGCCCTTGCCAGGCTGCAGTCACTTCTGGCTATTCCTCTGAGAGGCTTCTCAGCTGCTCTCTCTCTGTCCTCAGAGGTGGTCTGTCAGTCCTAGCCTGGTACCTCCCCAGCAGATGCTCTGTGCAAATCAGTGCACCATTCAGAAAAAGCAAATTGAAAAATAAACATTGCATAGGCATGAGCTTCACATCCACAAAGCCAGGGCTGTCCAGAATTATGGACATGGAAACAAACACCCTCGAAAAACAAAACAAAGAAACCCGCCGAACTTTGAACAGAAGTGGTTTTAAGTGCTGCACAATACAAAACTGCAGAATGAGATAGAATCATGAACTATTTTGAGAACTTGGGGGGGGGTGGGAAGAGGTTTCTCTTGATTTGTGAGGAATGTAATTGCAGAAAGAATTTAAATCAGTCTCTAATCTTGCTACTGTGCTTTTCTTTTTTTCTTTTCTTTTTTTTTTCCTTCCCCTTGGTGATGTTTCCTTTCTGAAGACCATATATAGCAGGACACAACCAAAGCATTTGCTTGTCTGGCCTTTTGAGGTGAATTATATTTAAATCCAGTTCTTCCAATATCTGGGGGATGGTTAGCTTGTGTGCTGCTTCCCTTTGTCCAGTTCTTTGCTGTTCTGACTTCATGATTCACCATCACTGTGAACACACAGGAAAGAAAAAAACACACCAGTGTCATGCTGTTGGGTTAGTTGTCTCAGCAGGAAATAATATGAAAAAGTATCTCTGGAGTCCCCGTGAAGGTGTTACCAGAAAATAAATCTGTCAGTCATGCAACAGATGAACAGACTCCATCTGCAGTGTTGGATGCTGGCAGCAAGGGCTGCTCTGATTTCTCTGATGGTTAGTGGCTGCCCAGCACAGCCTGTCTCCTGCTCCGAGGCCTCTTTCCACAGGTGAGGATAACTTTCTATAAATAGAATTTTTGTATTACATCTGACCTCGTAACAGGTGCATTTTCTCGTTGTCCCACTCGTTTCTGCCCAGCTAGTTTGTTCCCTAGCTCTTTCTTAATAATATTCTTAATTATGTTCATGCCAACATTAAAAATGAGACATCTTTTATCAGCTGACTGGATTTCAGTCAGCATTAACAGCATTAAACCACTTTTGAAGTTAAAGAGCCACTCATAATATTTTACCTGTTTTTTTAAGTCCCTTGTCAAACTGAGGCACATCCTGAGAAGGCAGTACTTCTTTCTGTACTAACTTATTACCCACCCAGAACATCTCTCCATAAGAAAGACTCACCCTTTTCAGACAGAAAGACTAGGAGGGTGCCCAGCAGCACCCAAGGCAAACCAAATCTCTCAGGAGGTGTGATAAAGCGTAAGGGGATTGCTTGTACTCCACATCCTACAGCAATCCATGCTGTGACGGGGACAGGCTGTGCTGATTTTGCTGGGGGAAGTAAAGGTCCCTGGAGTAGAGATTGGTTTTGTACCCTCTTGTGCACCACAGGAGAATCAGCCCTTGCCTGCTGGCCCTGCTTCCACTGCCTGCTCCCTCCTGCATGGACAGGATGGGAGCCCCGGCCCCAAGGAGGCTGGGGATGTTTCTGTGCCCAGGCACAATCAGGATTTTAGCAATAGGTTTCAAAGCCGAGACATATTATTTCAAATATATATTTTGAAAAATGTATATAATTTTTGAAAATGTATACATATATTTGTAACTTAGCTTACATGCAAAGTAGGTGACCTCCACCTACCAAGGAGCCTGAACTGTCATATATTGCCTCCTGTGCACAAATGTGCAGCCTTGATGCTCCTGAGTACAAATTTTATTATAATAATAGCTTTGTTTCATTTTACTTCATAGTCTTTCACTTTCCTTGCTCAAAATAGCTGCTGAAAACATCTATTTATCTGTATGTGGTTCTCTTTCTAACATTATTTATTCATCTAAGCGTTTGATCAGGAAAACCAGCAGATATTGGTCTGATTGGGTTCAATTGCAGGAATAAACAGAAATCAGGTTTTTTTCATTGTTTACCCAGAAATCCCACCACTTCAGATACCTTTTCTCATTGAAATAAAGCATATTTTGAAATTTCTTGTGTAACGAAATTTGCAGAATTAGATCAGACTTAAGGGAAACACTCAACTTAGAAATATTTTACCACCATGGGGTTCTGTTCTTTAAACTTATAAAAACTTTTATATTAAAAAGTCACTTACTCTGAAAGATAGTTTTGGAACAACTTTCATTCTGAAAACATCAAAATGTCACTATTGAAATGGTTAGTCTCATATAGTTTCAAAATTATATCACAATCATTCATAGTTCAAAACATTTTGGTCTTGATGAATTTCCCCCCAGCATCTTTATGAAGCACAGAAACAACATAGCCATCTCTGTTCAGTGAGGCCTTGAGATGTTTCCTGTACTGAAATATCGTCAGTAAAATCTAAAAGAGAAATTACCATAATTTGAGAAGAATTTTGCCCAAACAAAGCAGTTTTTCAGAATCCAAAATTGAATCTAATAATCTCACACTTTATATTCAGCTAATATCCTTTGTCTGAGCAGCTCTGAATGTTTTAGAGATATATTTCCTATTTTTATTTGCATTTTTTTGCCTTTCCACAATTTCTCTATTGTCTGATTCTAAGGTACCAGTCACAAGAAAATATGTGTGTGCCTTTGCTCTGACTGAAGCATATATGTCTGAACAGGGTTGCTTTTTTGCATCAAGGCTTAAGCCTCACTATATTATTCTGAAGTGGCAATAACTCTGTTTGACAGGTTGAAGAACTTGAGGTAAGGTGTAGCCTAAAGATGCCTTTTGACAGCCAAGAGCAAAAACACCTCATTCTGATGGGGTTAATGCAAATCCAGTACAAAAGCACTTTAGCAAGGATGATATTTAAAATGTCAGCTCAAGCTGGTATCTCATGATGATTTTTTTTCTGAAAATGAATTGTTTAAGTTTTGGAAAGTAAACTTAATGCTAAGGTTGGTGTGCCTAAAAAGCCTTGTAGAGTATGACTGACGTTTGCTGGTGTTAGCATATGACTCAAGCATGCTTTGTCCTATACTCCCTGCTATAGTCAGTGGAATGCTCAGCAAATCTGCTTTTAGAGAACCATTGTACAGCTGCCTCTCCTTAACAATTTCCCCCCTCTGAGTTACTGTTTAGAGGCAGGAAGGGAAGACACAGATGGCTAGCAAATCCAGGATCTTTTCCAGCTGCTCAGGGTAAAATTAATGTGCTTGCTTGCATTTGGAACCTAGGATCTAAGTCTTTTTTTAAGCAAAACTAAACTAAAGCAAAAACCTCACAGCACAATGATGATTTCTCTTGCAATAGGTATAGGCAGAAACCTTTTAAATACAAATGGCTGCACTGGACAAGCCCCATCCAAAAGGTCCCCTGAAACTGCAGCTTTGGAGCAACTGAGTTGCAAACTCTCCAGCGGTGGTGATTTAACATCCCTACTATTTCATTCCTGAGCAAGAAAACTCAGGAAAGAGGACTAGGATATTATGAGAGTCCACAGTGGGAGGTGCAGTTCTGCCAGAGAGACATATTCATCTGAATTATCTGGTGCCATGGGGAGCAGAAGACCCAGGTTCCCTTCCTGCCACCTGTCCCTGCTCCTAGCCTTGCCTGATTGCATCACTGCTTCCACTGCACCGGGGATTTTCTTGGCACATAGGATAGTTTACTTGTTTGTTATCATAACCTGGCACAGAGGAGCTGCTTTGCCCACTACCCAAAACGCAGCTGCAACACAAGGGTGAGGGTAAGGGCAATGTACAGCCTCTTGTTTCCAGCTGGAAATAGAATTTTTAATTAGGGAAAATGGGAGTTTGAGAGGGGTTTAGGATTTCTGGCCAAAATACTGAGGAAACCAGCCAGGAAGATTTTAAGTTTACAAGCTGTCAGGATTGCGGTTTTGCATCCCTCTGGGATCTCTGCTTGTACTATGAGCTAGTGCCAGCTTGGGGGGAGTGCTGCACCAGGGCACCGGGAAGGTCCTTTAGGTTTCTCTGGGGTCAGACAAGTCCCTGTCTGGCAAGTCACAGCTCCAGCCAAAACATCTGGCAGTAGTTCTCAGGGACCTCTAGGCACCAGACGGCAGAGGGGAACTGGGTGCCTGCACTGGTGAAGAGTGCCAAGGAAGCTATGCTGAATGCTTGTATTAACACCTTGGGAAACTGTGATTAAAGTCTGATCAGCAAGTGTTGTCTGTCTTGCACCAGTTTACAACTGCAAGATTATTTAGGGTTGCAATTTACTGGCAGAGACCTTTTTAGAAATAAGAGCGTCAAGCCTTTTGTTTAAGTTGAAGTCAAAGTTCCTATATATAAAAACTTTAAAATTTATATAGACCAAAGAATCACTCTGTAATTACATACAAAAAATTGATTATTTTAGAGTGACATTGACTGTATTTCTTCAAATAATATAATGAATTAAAGTACCTTGGGTTGGCAATTGATTCTTTTTCTTCTTCTCTTACAGTAGGCAAACATTCACAGTCAGCTGAAAAAGGATAAGAAACAAGACCATAGTTACTCTTGGCAATTCTTCTACATGTTTCAAAAAAGCATCAATTTTTATCATGCAGTCTCTCTAAAATATAGATCTGTGGATACACTTCTGCACTGTTTTATCTGCACAGACCCCATAGCATAAATGTTACACATTTTAAATCCTCCTTCCTTTTGATAAGTGTTGCCAGAATTTTTTTATTACATATATTTCAGTTATTTATGTACACCTATACAAATTAACTATTTTTGACAACTGCTTCTCCACAAACTGCCATGGGTAGGGTTGTTTGTTAATCTTCCATTGCTTATAGTTGCACCTATGCTTTATAGTAGAGCTGGGAATTTGGGGCTGGAGTTTAGGAAACACTAGCACACACACACACAAGTATGTGAAATATTTGTTCCCTTCTCTCCACAAAATTTTTAAAAATATTTTACAACACTATTGTCCTGTATAGTACACTTAATGTGTCTCTTTCACTATTGCCACTTAGCACATGTTTTCCACTGGAGCTTACAGACCTCAAAGGTCAAAACCCATCACGTGGAGTGCTGTGCTAACGCAAAGAAATGCTCCAAAGAGTTTTATGTCCTGAGAAACAAAGCATCCCTCGTAGGTCAGGCAAATGAGCCATTTGGATATAAGGCAAGGGACAAGGAATGAAAAAAATATCAGTGTTTCAGCATTTCCTAGCCAGTGAAAAGCTGTTCGGGGTTCAAAATCAGGCCTCGGTTAATTCACGCCTTACCAAAGACCCGCATTTTTTGAGAGCCTTGAAGGAGAATGCAGGGCCCTTAAGGATTTTGACTGGGAGATTACAGTCGGGAGGAAAATGAGAGGGAAAATGCAAGATACTTAGAGGGAACTGAGAAGGGAGCTGAAGATGCTGCTGCTGGTAGTTACTGAAGATTCTAATTGCTCCATGTGCTGATAGACTTGCAAGAGAGGGGAAGAATGTATTCATAAGTTCCTGACAGCAGCTTTAAGTAAATGGTGGTCTGAGCTACAAATAAATGCGGATTTCTCCTACAATAACACAATGTGGAGCACAAAACTGTAGAAATTCTGAAGACTGAAAGGACTAGATGCTTCATAGAAATTAATATTTAGCATTAAAAATGTATATTTAAAAATATAAATACCCCTCACAGCTATATGTGTGTTTAATAGAAATGTCTACTGGAAACTGAAAACATTTATGAGATTCCACCACATGTTAAAAATAAACTCCCACACAAACTAAAATACTCCTCTGAAAAATTCTACCCCTGACATTTGTGCAGTTATTTTAGTAGGAGGGAGCCAAGATCACAACTAAAATGTTGTAGGAAAAGCAGTGACGTGCATACAAAACACCTTACATTGATTTTCTACATGTGGGATCTACGTCAGCTAGCAAGAGAGGGAGAATGGAGTAGAGGGGTTACCGTGTACCATTTTTGTTCATGCTGTTCATCCATTTATCAAGCTCTTCCATTTCTATCTCCATAACAGAGGGCGTGTCTTCTTCAAAAATAGGACTTGAAAGAAGAGAGGGGGAAGAAAAGCATTACGCAAAATGTTAATTTGTACAACTTACAATGTAGTGATTTTGTATGACTCTTTCATAATTCCAGACACATGTGTTATCTGTGGAAAGCCATCTGAGGAGATGCCCACCCAATGGGTTTGAACCAAACAGCTGCAAACAGATGCAAGGAGGCAACACTGAGATGCTGGTCCTGGGCAGAGGTAGGGGGGGACTGAGACATAACACGCAGAGGGACTCAGTGCAGCCTGGTGTGTGCCAGAGCACAAGATCACTGCAGCTTCTTGAAAACTGTCCCTGCTGTAAATAGAAAACTAAAAAATAAGATAGTTTGTCTCTGCCCTGCTGGAACACGTGGCAAAAGTCTCATTGCTCCAGTGATAAAATCAAAAGGCCTAATGTTTCATCATAGCTGTGACTGACATTTGCAGTGACTTCGAAAGGAAAGGTCATGAGTAGAGTAACTGCATTTATTTAAATGCCTCCACTTAGCTTCCTTTTTCTTATCATTCCTGGAGTCATAAGATAGAAAAAATACTTTTTAGCAAAAAACCCTTTTTTCTTTCCTAGATCCAATTTATGAACTTTCAGTATTGATTAGCAAAATGGAGCTCAATAAAAGGTAACAATAAAAATTATCACCCTGAAAGAGCCACACAGCTTTTGGCTTGTTTTTCCAGCATCTAAGGCATTGCTCCCATGGCAGCCAGGCAAGCCTTTCTGCCTCACCTCTGAGTGAGAAGACAAACTTGAAAAACAGGGGAGAAAGACACAGAGCTTATTCTGAACAGTGAAAGCCTGTGATGAGTCTGGGAACTGATCCCCTTTGCTCCTGGGGTACCTCGTGTGTCTGGTGGCTGATGGAGCAGGAGGTGCCTCGAGCAGGCGCAGCAGGGGCTGCAGGCTGTGGGTGCCTCAGTCACCGCATCTCCTCCTACTCTAGTCTTACACCTTCAGCCAGGTACTGAAGTCACACTTTAGCCACCTGTAGAGATAGTTAGCTGGTGCAATTGATGGCAAAAAGTAATGGTGTTTAGTGTATGGTAAAATTAAAACAGGTGGCAAAGGCAACAAAAATCATAATATCCTGTTAGAATAAAATTAAAAAAAAATTAAAAAGAGAGATATTCATAAAATTTACCTTTTCACATTTTCACTTCCCAGCTCATCTGGAAAAGAAGAAAGTTGGTGTTCATAGTTCTGCATGATACATACCTCTTCGTATATACAAGGTCCAGACAAGGCAAGCAAGCCTTGGATAGTGTCAGGTAAAACAGGTTGCATTTTCAAAAGGCATGAAAACTAAATTGTAGATGAAAGACAAAATACCTCATCCTGTTTGTAATTTTCAGAGGAACCTATTATTTTTAATCTTGAACACACTAGCAGCTCATTATTAGCTCAGCCATGCTGGGAGGCAGCCAAGTGTCAGTGCTGCAGTGGGTGGGACAGGGCAGATGCACGCTTCCCTGAGCAAAACAGATGTCATGAGGGAAATGGTACCCTGAAAAGGAACCACTTCTGCAAATATACTGTTTACGGGAGGCATTGGGACATTTTTCTACAGATTACACACAGGCAATCCAGCTCTGTCTGGAGACTCTGGGAGGCACTCATGGAGAGAAGAGGGGGTTGGACTTGCATGGCAGATTAAATCTCAGTCAGGCAAATGAAGCTGATGTCAAAAGGGATCTAAAGCTACTTATGATCCCAAGACAAAGTAAAGATGGGGGAGAAAATGGTGTAAGAGATAAATAACTTTCCCTCCAGGAATCGAGTGACTGAAAAGCCTGTCTTAAATTAGCTTATTTTTAATTCATTTTTGCCGATGGGTGCTGATACCTCCCAGTTGTTCCAGTACTCCTGCATTTCCTGACTGCAGGGCCACACAAAAACTACAGAGCCATCTGCCCAAGCCTTGAGGATGCTCCAAGCTCCTAGCTCCAAGCAGTAGACACAGGGCAAGAGAACCCAGGATTGTGTTCCTGAAAGGTGCCACATTTCCTATCTCTCTGAAGAGTGTACCTGCATCTCAGATCATCTAGAAACAGGTAGGCAACTAGATGCCTCGTTGTGAATTCAGTTCTTTAGAGGGAGATGCAGTGATAAGGCAAATGCAGCCTAAAAACACCCTGAAAAATTTACTTAAAATCTGTGTTGAATGTGTTGAACTGCCTGCAGGCTGAGGAGCTTACAGCGGCACTCTGGCTCTGTAGTGACACAGATACAACCATTTCAGGACTTCACTCACCAGATGCATGGTTTTAATATGACACTTCAGTTTGTTTTCTGTGGCTTGACACTCCAAGTTACCACTTTCTTTGCTAAGAGATGAAGGCACCTTCCTGAAGCACTGCTCACCCTACCACAGCACCCAGGGCACTCTGACCATGGGATTCCTAGCTCATTTACTGTGATGTTTTCATAGCAGCCACTATCCTATAGGATTGGGATCCCTTAAAATTGTTCCTTAAAATGGAACAATTGTTCTTATTTTACTGAAGCTCCAAGCAACTTTACCTTGTGGGCAGTATAGGCAATAGAAGCATTAATTTCACTTTGCATTAAGTTATTGAGCATAAAGGGAGAATAAGCATTTGCAGCCACACAGTTACATCCCTAAGTGTTCTCAGCATTGCCAGGAGCTGGAGCTCAGTGCCACGGCTCCCATGGATGTGCAGCATGAGCAGGAGGTGCAAAGAAGGAGAATTAGCTCCTGCCCAAGTAGAGGTGCGTGCCCAGGTACTGCTGCCAAGGAGGATCCTTCTCCTATCTGTCAGACATGCAACTACAGTCAGAGAAGAACATCCTAAATGTGGCATCACGGGCCTCCAAATAACATTTTGTTAATGTTGAGCACATCCTAAAAATATTCTTTTGATGCACAAGAAGACAAATTTACCTTGCTTAGACTTTTTCCTTTTATGATGCATTACGAAAAATGTGATCAATAAAATCAGCAGGACCAGCAGCACGACAGGGACAACATATATCAAGATAGACTGTTCTGCTGCTTCTAGGCTGTCCTCATCATTCACAGCATTCGGTTCACTACTTGAAGTACTTTCTGTTTCAAAGCTGCTTTCAGTAGCGCTTGTCGCGACAAGTACTGTCTCATGGTCATTCACGGTCGAAGAACCCATAGCAGGATGAGATGTTACTGTAACAGTGGGTAATGTCGATGGTCCATCTCCTGATCCATCATTTTCAGGGCCTGTCAAATATAGGAGGACAACAATGTTTTCTGGGTTTCATTAGTATTATCAGTGAGTCACAGTGTACAGCTTTAGTATTTACTTTCTATTTCATGTCTTTAAAAAATTAGCAGATGCCCCATACACACAGATTTGAAGTCTTGGGCATCAGACGTAAAATTAGATCACAAATTTATCACAAAATCTTACCAGTTGTGACCATGTTCTTCAGCTGGCTTTTACTGGGACAAGTCAGCATGCGTGGTCTGTCTGTACAAAGCTGCCTTGCACAAATAGACTTCTTTTCCTGCAGGTTGACATCCGGCCTTGCTCACACATAAAATTATTTTGCTTCTCAGTAAACCACACTAGCCTGTTTCGCTCCTCAGTCTTGGCACATACATCCCTCCCCTTACCAAAGGAGTTAAGTACTCCCTTCAGGGAGACCATTATCCCTGGTTCACTAATTCCTTTGGTTCATGCATCTCCCTGTTTCTGTGCCTTTCTCAAATTTCTTAAGTTTGTCTCACTGTGAAAAACAGAACTGTTGAAAGGAAGTCTGAAGGATGCAGAAGCTGCTGACTTCCACTTATGCCTGGGCTAGAAGAGGTGGTAGTAACATAGGGACGTTACTGGGTACAGATGCAATTAACTGTTCCTCTGTCTGATCCTACAGGCTAGCGGAAGGAGCATATGGTAAAGCATTAGTGCTGATTATTCCTCGTAAATGCTAAGACTGGGGGTTTTGAACCTCAGTTTTGGATTTGGTTTAATTTATCATGCATTTTGCAAGTGGCTAAAATTTGCTATATTGGTAATAGTGAAACAAGTGGGTTTTTGAGGCTAATTAAGAATCTGTATTGACTGTCACAGAGTGTAAAGCTTAAAACAAGTATAGCAAATTATGGGCAGGAATCAGTCCTTAGATATATTACGATAGCATGCCTCCTAATGCAAAGCCTTCCATAATTTTCTTAGCATGAAATTAAATGATGGGGTTTTTGTGTTATCTGCCCTTTCACATACAATGCTGGCACAGTGCAGGTCTCATTTTATGCAATAAAGCAGGATGGGATTTCATGACTTTCGCAATGACATGTTTCTCCTCATTCTTGTAAAGTGCTGGGCAGCCATAGTTTCCACTAGAGTTAGCAAGAGCTTAAGGTTTTCAGCATCTCAATGCTGGCATTTCCAATCTCACAGGACTGGAACCAAAAGTACTTAGCATTTTAAATGCTTTTGTAAACACATTAATCTTCATAATGGCCCTGAGAGATGAGCAGTTATCATCTCCATTTTACAAATGAGAAATCAGGACAGGGATGCTGTCCTTCCAAGGGACGCCAAGTGAGAAAGGAAAACTGGGATTAGAGCGCTATCTCTTGCTTAATCCTCTCTGCAGCATCTCCTCTCTCCCATCAGGTTTGTCTCGAAGAGATGAGTATTTAATGAGACTGTATTTCAGTTTCACATGAATAAAATTATTTGAGTGTGACAGCAGTGTTCTATCTAGATTTTTATGCTGTGCATATCACACAGACACCTGATTGTTTTATTCTTTCCTAAAAACTAGGAAAGAATTTGAATACTTAATAAAGAATACCTAATACTTGTATATAGTGTTTAGTACTGTGAAGGTCACCAGACTACTGCACCACAATAGGACAATGAAAATGATAGCTCTTTAGTCACAAAGCACTTTTTATCTATAGTCTCTCTGTTGCTTTCTTCTATATTTATTATTTCAATCAAGAGCAAAACACTATCTCTGCCTCCCTTGCAGGTAATGACCCCTTATGCGTGTGCTCCTCCACCCCTTTCCATGATCTGCTAGCAGTCCTTAATCCTATCGCAGAGAACAGGAAGGAGAGCTTCTCTCCCTTATTATTTTGGCCATCTGTCTTTTCTTTCCCAAGTTTATAGTTCCTAGTGGCTGCAGTGACTCCATTTGGATTGCTGCTGTGCAGAGCAGACAGGTAGCACTAGAGATATCTGTGCCACAGACTGTGGTGTGATAGACCGTACCACTGGCAGAGCTGATGGCCCACTACGGCCTCACTGAACCTCTTCAATGACCTTGCTCATTTTCTTCCTTTAGCCATCATCCTTGAAACCCATTGCCTGACACATTTGATATATTGAGAGGGACAAGCCTGTTGCTTAAAATAGTATGAATGTGAAAGGGTGTGGAGAACATACTTCGTTTCTCATTTACGCTTAGGGTTAAAATGGATTTTTCAAATGTCTAAAGCATGGTGTGGCTTTAAAGCAAAGCAAACAGTCACACCTCATTAACTGAAGTGCTAAAGCTTCAGCTGCAGAGTATGCTGTGCTTGATTTCCGAGACTTTTCCAGTATCTTTGATATTTTTCCTGTTTTTGAGCTATGAAGCAGACTTAAAATAATTTTTCTCTGTGTGAAATAGAATTACCTTTTCTAGTCTCTAGGCAAAGAAAATGGCAAATCAGAGGGACTGACCTTGCTGCCACGTACTTTTGTTCACTTTGCATAATTCCAGGGACAAAACAGCATCTCTCTGGGAACACCATTTCCTCTTACAGAGATCTTTTCTCTGAGTGAATTAAATATGTCTTTCAGGAGAAGGGCACCCAATTGCAGAATGTTCTTGCAAGGATATTGCTCTTATTTCCTGTTTTACCTGCTGCCTAGACATATCTCTCTCCCCTGTCACCTCTGAGGACCAGAGCTCGGACCAGAGCCCTACCTGTCACATGGCAGTTGCTCTCACTCTCAGGCCACCCATACATCACACTTTTTACACAGTAGGAGAGCACAACCTGCACCAGGGTTGGCCTGGTGGCTTGCACCATGGAAGTATTTGTACCTCCAGTTTGGCAGGCAGAGACAGGCTGAGGCCTCCCGTGCAGCTGCAGGGCTTGCCGCAGCCAACTGCCCAGGCCCCATGAGACCCACGTGGCTGGCCTCAAGAGAGCTGCTGTTTTTCACAGTGTTTCAGTTTGAAGTGCTCAAAATAGCAAGTGGGCTGTGTTGCAGCTGACCCCAGTGGCTGTTTTGTAGGGTGTTGCAAGGTTTGAAGCAGGGCAGAATCGCATCTGAAAGCTGGTGATTTTGTGAGATGCTATTCAAACGTTTTCTCTGTGCCAGATGTGCAGTGGTAATTCATACCATGAACTGTCTTGTTAGCTCTGCTGGGGTTTCATCTTGCAGATATCTATTGCCTCCCTGCAAATGGGAATTTGACCATAACATAACATAACATAACATATCAGGATGGAAAACCAAGGCCAAAGGAGTGCAACGAGCAGCAAGTCACATATGATCAAGTACGTATCTTCTTGACTTTGCAAAGCCCATGCCCTTTCTCTTGCTGAGCTCAGCCTCATGCTGTTGGCTGCAGTCCAACATCCATACTCATCCTTCTGCACATCTTGTCCAAGGAGCATGTGCTCATACAGCAACTGCATCAGCTTCACTTTTGTCTGAACTGCCTGGGGCATAAATGCTGGTGACTTCTTCCCATGTTGAGGGAAGTGGATGGGAACACACCACAGCTTCAGACCAACCTGTATTGTCACTTTCCATGCTTTCAAGGAAGAGGGGCTGGCACGCATCCCACCCTGATGGGGAGGTGGGCACAGCTGGGACTGGAAGCTAAGAAGCTGGAGCCGGAAGTTAAGAAGTCCTCAGGTTTCCACCATCGAGGTATTAGAGGATCTAGTCCTCAAGGGACCAAAATGTCTAAGCAAGCACTAGCAGCATCTCAGAAAAGGTTCAATTAACAGTTCTTAAAAATTTTGAAAAAGCTATGTCCCTATATATAGATACCATGGTATAAGGTGTTATTCAGTATTCTCTACTTCAAAAATATGCTCGGATCACTGATGGTCTTTGCTTGAGTTTTGGAGGTGCTCTCAAACCTGCTTTTTATGGGAGACCGAGAGAGTTGAATGTACCAAGTGGTTTTACAGATTGGAGTCCAAAATAACACATCTCAGTCAAACAAACAACACTTCTGTTGTTGCAGCATTTCTTCCTCTGAGGTTTGTGCTGCAGCACTCAGAGGAGATGATATGAGCTTCCTGATTAAGTAAGCAGGCAAACAGGTTTCTGAATTCAGTTGGATGCAAGGCAAAGGAAAATAGCAAAGGAAAATAGCCATCAGTCAGCACATTTGGTTCTGTTGTAAAACCGAACCTTTCGCCTTACCATCAGACTCAAGGACTGGGGTCTCTGAAGGGAATTTTTCAAATTACACTACAGTATCTACTTACAGAAGAAAAAGGAATGGGGTAGAAAGAAAGCAAGAGCTGTATCACTGGGATAGCCAGGCTTACTAGTTTGAAAGGAAAATTTTTGTCCCATAAGCTATAAAAATGCAGTGAAAGGAATACCCACAAGAAGATGACAGAACAAAAAAAGGCTATAAAGCTGGTATGAAGTTACCTCATCCTATATCTGCTCTACACACACATTCCTTCTGTTGGTATAGTCATACCACTCCACATGATCTGTGTGATCCTCTCCCATACTGCTTGGCTCATCCCTGCACTGTTCCTCTCCCACATTTCAGGTTGCTGTAAGAAGGGCTGTTCCTTGCCATGGCCAGGGCTTGCCCAGATGCCTGTCGAGGCAAGTCTTGCCTGTCAGTCTGGCTGGAAGAGGAATCCTTAAAAGCCTGCAGGCGAGGTGTTGGGTGCATATGCTGTTCTGATGAGGGAGCACAGGCATTTCAGGATGGCTAATCTGTAGACAAGATCCTATTAAAACGAGGTGCTTAGAAAGCGTTATCTAGGTATAACCTGAAAGAGGAAACAACTGTTTAAGCTCATTTATAGATGATGGAAACTGCTTTTCCTCACTGTATTTTCATCCAGCTGAAGTGCTGCACTAACTGCTGATATTGCAAATTCAGGCACGCGTCTTAGTGTCATTTCTCATCCCCAGTACTAAAGGTTTTCCAGACCAATGTATGCATTTAGTTGCTTCTACTTAGTCTCGTGGCCTTCTAGTGCTGCATCTGTGATACCCATGCAACCTCACTGTGATGTAAATCTTTTAGTGCTCCTTGCTCTCAGGAGGACTCTGAAATTAAAGATTCAAAAGCTCCGGAGGCTTTCCAGCTATCATAAAATCTTGTGATGGAAAAGAGACTGGTGCTACTGACTGAAATTTAGTATAGAGTCTTGGTGATGTAAATGAGAGATTTTCTGAAATGCCCCTGAAGCACTTGAATAAAGCACAGTGAATGTTTGTGTATGCGGATAAAAGGGAGGAATGGGAGTAAATATGTAGGAAGAAGTCATGTGTTCGGTAGAAAGGATTTTTCATCTGCTTTTTAAGGACTGCACTTTGGGAAGACAGTATGTAGCAAATCCTCATTTCTTATATTTTTGCTTTTACAGAAAATTTCAACAGGTGACTCTAATGGGTTCAAACCTATTCTTGAGTTCACTACTCTAGGAGGAAATAGGTCAAAACTATCACTGTCTGAGAGATCTTGGCTTTTTAGGGATTTAACCTGAAAGGGAGTTCTCTGCCAAGGTGAGAGTCGCTGCCTGTGCTCATGGTACAAGCTGCTGAATATCTGGACCTTTGATAGCAATGTTTCTTTGAATGACAGCTCAAAACAATAGCACAATAGACACAGTCTTTAACTTGGTGATCTTATGGGTTTTACTGTTCCTCTCTCACACACATTTTCTTGCTCCCCATGTCAGGCTGCGTATGCTGCAATTTCCCATGTGTTTCACTGAACACAGTGGGAGATGGCATACCCTGAGAAATGACTGTAGGGTCAGAGCCTGTTCCTATAAGCTATAGTAAGGGTCTAAATGCTTGTTACTAGGGTCAGCACACATACCTAGGTAGGTGTTTAGGGCTGTTGCAAGGCTGAGCCAGTGAGCACCATCACCTACAGTAGAGAGAGCCACTGTCACCTGTAGGGCTTTCTGGCTGCATTAAAGCCAGGGAAAGAAAACTGGTGCAAATCCTGATGTTCCTTCAGTATGGAGTCATGAGAAGGCCAGCACCCAGAGCTGAGACCTCAGGAATGCGCTTAGAGCTACCGGATTAGAGTAATTGTATAGACAGGAGAAAACCATCCATAAAGCATAATCCAAGTGGCAAGGCTAACAAGGCTCTGGCATGGTATGGGAATAGGATTTATAAAGGTTTTAATCTGTCTATGCTGCAAGATTTAATCATACTCTGCCTATTTTGTAAATGGTATTTAGACAGCAGACCACTTTAAAGGTAAGGACTGTGTCTGGTAAATCGTAAAGTTCCCTTACAATTCCTGCCGTGCTGATCTGTGAACAAGGAGGATTGAAAGCAAAGGATCTCCCTGGGAGGCTGCCCTCAGTGGAGGGGCTCTTGACCCACCAGTGCCTCTGGGGTACCTAAGCCCTACAAAAACTTTTCCCCCACCAGTTCAATTTCCCCCGAAGGCCCAAGTTCACAACTTCCCCCTCCCACCTCCCACCCTTGCAGTCAGAGTACTCCCCCAGTACATTTCGGGGCTGGTTGCATAAGCAAAAGATGCCTTTGTTGGGGAGCAAAGGTGGGTGTTCTCCTCCCCTTCCCCAGCTGATGCAGGCTGGCTCTGGAAAGTCAGGGCTGATGGGGCCTGGGGAGGGTTCTGACAGGACTGACTCACTCCTGAAGAGAAACCATTCCAAAAATAACCAGAATTTAAAGGGGGAAGTACTGATAGGAAGCCTCTGAAGGCAGGCAGGGTGTGGGCTGGGGCACCTGACATCTGCCTAGTGCTTCAAGCAGTCTTTAATGCCCGTGGCAAAGAAGGGCAGGGAGGCTGAGGGGACTGGGGACTAAGGTATCCCTCCACCCTGGGGAGGTGGTGATGAAATAGTATTGATCAGTACCCTGCACATGAGCTAAGGAAGCAGGAGCCTGATCACACTGTGTCTCCTGCATTGTGCTCCTCCTTTTCCCTGAGACCTCTGTTTTTACTCTGCCCATGGCAGGATTTTTATTCCTCTGACTGCTTTGGTTCTGAGCTATATATGTTCAATGCTTGCAGCATATTTTCCTGATGTGTCTGCAATGCAGCAGAGCTGTAGTAACACAATGAAGACCAAACCATTTTATACCTCACTTAGCTCATTCTTACAGCTGAGCAAGACTCCTAAGCGCAAGCAGCTCAGCAGCACACGGGGAATCTGCAGCCCAGCTTAACACCCTGCTTATAGTACTGGTTTTCAGGGGAAAAGTAGCCACACCAAACCACCTTTTCCAGAAATGAATTTTAAAACCTTAAGAGAAGAAGTCCAGTGATGGCTGAGAGGCAGCAAACACTTCTAGTCCATACTGAGGCACTTTGACAGGGATTTGTTTGACACTGAAAGGCTTGTAAGCACCACCTGTCAAGGTTTCACTAAAAGACCTGCCTGTCATGTGCAGTCCCTGGCTGCCAAAATGCCAGTGGAACCAACGAGAGCCTCTACAAGCCCAGCACCACCCAGCATTTTGTCACAAGTGGCTTTTTCACTCGTGGTTCTTCCCTTCAGAAGGTCAGGACCTAAATCCATGCTGCCAGACACTTTGTTCTGCAGCTGAGAATTCAAAATATTTGTCTCCGGAACCGGCTGTTCTTTTGTTAAACCAGTTTCAGTGCACTGGGACTGCGGAAATTGGCAGTCAGCTTTTGAATGGAAGCAGTGCTCTGTCTTTAACTTTACTGTTAAATGCTGGTAGTATTGGGTGTGGAATTTAAAAATTTCAACAAATAACTAAAATTAGAAGCAAAATGCCTGGTGGCTCAACATGGAAACTCCAATTCCCTACACAACTGCAATTTAGGAAACGTAGGAATTGTAGGATTAGGTTGCTGCTGTTTGGGGTTAGGTCTAACAAGAAAAAAATCAAACCTTCAAAGAAGAGAGGCAGCTTTAAGCAGAGAGGGTAAACAAAGCAAAAAGCAGCAGAGAGCAAGTCCCCACAGATCTTCTCCCGGTGCTTAGCTTGGAGGGTGTTGCCCTCCAACTCAGTCCCATCGCTGCAGGCATAAAACGCGGTCCCACCTCAGCAGGCAAAAGACGCTTCTTTACTCACCATTTCCAAAAGATCCTCCAGCCAGCGACAGGGCAGAGAGCAGAGTGATAAAGCTGGGGTTTCGCATGCTGCCCTGGCAGTGCTCCCACCTGAGGGGCGCTCCGTCAGCCTCCCTGCTGCACCCAAACATCTACATTTCCTGCTTCCTGCCGAGGTGCATCTGAGCTGCATTTCTTCAGGAGATGGACTCTCTTTGATGGGTTTTAGGAAGTGATGTAATTCCGTCTGGGCCTGTCAAGCAAGCAATGATTGCAAAAGAAAAAGAAGAAAAAAAAAAACCAGAAGTTGCACTTCAAGCACGAACTTGGCTGAAGCACCTTTATTCTGTAAATGAGAGAGCTCCTGCTCTCCTCCACTCCTTTCACATCCGCGTTTACTACCTTCTGTCTTCATCTACACACAGTACCACAGGGACAGACATCACACAAATACAAATCAGACACAAAATTTCATTGTTGTGAGTTAGTGGGAAGGTTTTATGTCACTTTTCAAGGTGGTTGAGCAAGCAAATTTCAAAAGTGCCTCCTCTCTTGCCTTGCTTTTCAAGCATGGTATGACACTGAGTGCGTTTATGACCCTAAAAAGCAACCCCAAGTGGAGTGTCTCTAGCAAATGAGATGAACTGCTAGCTCTCTTAGCAGCCTGTAACTGGTATTCTGGACTGGTTTGTACCAAGGAACAGGACAAAGCAGAAAACCATATTTTTTTGTTAGGAGCAGGTGGCTTGGCTGGAAAGTGCTTAGACACTGGTGTGACAATGGCTATAGATGACAGGAGAGACAGAAGGTCTCAGGCCCCAGAAGGGTGCACTGCCTGGCATGGGGGTCCACAGTCACAGTAGATGGAGTGGCGAGAGGCAGGTAATCCTGCCTCCCTTCCTTATTCATCTTGATTTTCACTCCCCCTGGCAGTCTCTGTCTGGGTGTGCAGACCATGGGGCACACCTGATGCCCCCCAACAATGCCCTGTCCTCTGTCCCCACAACCCCACCACTGTCCACACACTCAGAAACACATGAGGGCTGACCAGGGGCTTCCACATATTGCCTGTCACTAGGTAGGAGCAATGGACAAGCTCAACACTAAACCCAACATTTTCAACCTTCTTGCTATATGGGGTGGGCCTATCCAGGGCCAGGAACTGGACTCGGATCTAAACCATACTTGTCTTCAAGCAGGGAGGGTGGTTGGACCACAGGTTTGGTTTGCTCCACTGTACAAATAAGTTCTAGGTCTAAAACTCATCCTTCTGAGTCCAGTAGAGTCTGAGCTCCAGAGTTTACTGCATCACAGGTATGAGCCATTTTAAATACTTGCATAAAATTTCCCAGTAATAAACTAAGGAAGAAGGCATAAATGGTGCCTGTGCAGGAGCTTCATGGTACTTCCCCTAGACATCACTCTGTGTCTAAATCTGATTTCTGGTGAATTTGTTGAAGCTGGCATTGGTGAATCTTTCTGTTCAGATTGGTGGGAAGTGACCAATTGCTACTCTGTTTCTCCAGCTAATAATTTTTTTTAACACACTGATGCTTTCATAGGTCATCAGTTATAGTTTTCTTAGCTTGAGTAGCTGAGAAATTGGTCAGTGATTCATTTAATGACCTGTTTGTTGACAGATTTAAAACACTTGAATGAGTTTGTTAACTAACTAGTTGCTTAATATTGGCAATGTACGTTTATGCACTTCATAAAACAGTGTGGGAAAACAGCAAAGTTACAATACTGCAACTACAAGAAGATAAAGAGGAGCTCTGAGTTTTGAAGACACTGACTGACCAATTAAATTTTTCTAGGAGATATTATGTAATATGATGTCAGTCATACCTAATAACACTTACCAGACAGAAGTGTCAGAGGTGAGACTTGCCAACGCTTTTAAGATTTTTCTGTTAAAAAGGGACAGAAACTCCAAGGATTAATAATAATGACTAATTGAGATAGTTTGAATTATGAAAGTCAAGAAATTGAGGCTACCAAGCATCTCCTATGCGCTCATAGGATTTGTCCAGGTGCAATGGATTTGTCTAGCCTGCGATAGGAAAACTGGTAATGGGCCAGTGGCCAGCATGGGCAAAGCCTGTCTGTGTTTTCATGCGCCTAGACTCAGGTTCTAAAGCTGTTACTATTGGTCATCCTCAGCTTTTCTTGAACTTCAGACAATAGGAGACAAAATAATACTTTTTCACAGTATTTTTGCTGCTTTAATGTATAAAGGATGTGCTATACTCCTTTCCATTTTTTCCCCATCTCCTTCCCAGATTTGCCACTTTTGGTCTTTCTAATACCACACGGATTGCAAACATGCTTCCCTGATTTATCCTGCCCTGCATATTTGGCATATTTGCCCCATTCTGTAGACTTAGCCCAGCTCACTCATCCCTTACTAAAACATAAAACCTAGACAGAGAAACTGGAAAAGAGAAAAGGACTTCTGTTTGCTGCATTTTATCTCATATTTCTAGTGCAAAAGACTATATCTTTTCCTCTTTTCCCTTCTAGTCTTTCTACATAGCTTGTAGCATTTTCCGCACAGATTCCCATCAACTATTTTTGACTCACGTTTGGCTAACAACTTCTTGTTGCCCCTTGAGAACAAGATAGACACCCAGTGGTATGTACACCATTATTATTTCTAAGGCAAATATAAGTATGGGAAAGTGACTCTTGGCCACATTACATTTTAATTAAGACTTCAGAGTGATACAGAGGCAGTTTGGCACACATTTGACTATTTTAATTTTAAAAAAATGTAGAGAAAGAGGAATGAGGTATTTTGGATGCTGACAAATCAGACTGTCAAGCAAGGGCAGTTACCATGGTCCATCCCCAGTAGCATCAGAATCATGCTCCCCTGAAGCACTCCCAGCAGGCTCCCTTTTGCCTGCCTGGGAAGTAAGGTTGGCAGCCTTTGCCTTGGTTGCATTCCTCAGCCTCATGCATCTCTCTTAATCACAGAAATGCAGAAACCAAAAACTGTAGTGACAGCCTTGCTGCAAAACTAACTATGTATTTGGAAACCTAGGTGGCTTCAGTCAGCTTATTTTGTAAGAGAGGTAGATTGTATCTGCTAATTTTATAGGCCTTAGTGCATTTACTAGGATTCAAAATGCACTTTAGCAAAAAGGAATGTCTTTTCACAGATCAAACAACTAAGTTTCCTGGGTGCTTTCAATGTGTATTACACAGCTGGAAACATTCTGTGCATGTTTGATGTTACTGTTTCATTGGTTTTTATATTATAAAGGGCATTTCTGAACACCTAGCTAGGCTCTTTGCTAATGTTCATCCCTAATCAGAGAAGGATTTGCATCACTGAGATTACAGGATGTCACTAGCTGGACATTTTCAGAAAAACAGAAATGTACTGTAATGCTGCAGCCACTTGACTCATGCTCTTCTCGTTCCTTTTTCCTATGAAAACAACAACAGCTAAACTTTTGCAACTCATGTGGCAAGTTTGGGGTTAGCTATAGGGCTTATATTACAAACCCCTGCTATTGCAGCTTGTCTGCTGTGGACGTTGGCAGCTAATCCACCTGCTCTGAAGTGCAGGCAAGGGCTAGAGCCAGCCAAGTTCTGCTAGTCCCTTAATGACTTATTTCTGCCTCTGACATACGTTGGGAAAGGACAGATAAATTTTTCCCACAAGTCACTGTGAAAGAATGGGAAATAGAACTGTATTGCAATTCACTGCAACATTAAAATAAATAAATAAACAAATAATCATCAAAGCAAAGGAGAATGTGCAAAGCCCACGGGGATCTGCTCAAGCCAGGCAGAGCCCTGGCTGCAGTGGTGCTTCTGTGGGATGCTGAGCTAAGTAAGATTTGCAGAATTGAGGCTAAAATCCACAACATTCTTGTGTAGAAACCTCATGTGGATTTGGAACCTCATCCATGGTTGTACTTGTTTCAGAGCAAGCATTGCCTGCATGAGTTGCAGAAGATAAAGCTCTCTTTCCAGCAAACTCTCTCAATTCTAGATTATTTGAAAAGACAAGTTACATTGTCTTTCAGCCACAGAGGTGCTTAAGAAAAAGGTTTATATCTCTCTGAAACCAATGCCACCAGTATAAATTAGAACAATGCTTAGAACAATAAGATATAGTCCCTAACTGGGTATCATAAAAATATCTAAAATGAGAGTGACAATAAAAGCATAAAAACAAGTACCTTCCAGCTTTAAGAACCTCTTTGCTTAACTGGACTTGTAATTATCTTCTTTTGCCTTTTTTTTTATTTTCCTCCTTCCACACAATACAGGCTGTTAAATCACGGCTGTAATATTTTGGATACTTCAGTAGGAACAGAAATAAAATACAAAACTATACTTGAAAATATCCAGATGTTTGTATCTAAGTTTCCTTTAACAAAATGAAAAATGGATTCCTAAGAGAGACTTCTAAAATCTCATCTGAAATTAAAAAGAATGCAGAGAGGGTGCTGGCAGACTTATATTGAAGTGCAGTTGGACACTTAATTTCTACTCATTTCTTGGAAAGTGGTATATGGATTATAAATTTTGCACATTGCAGAAGCTTCCTAAGTTATTTGTGACTTGCGTAAAATCCTAAAATAGGTGATGCCTTCATTCTACTGCAGTACTGGCAATGTTTTGAAATATGCCTCCTCCTTGGAGCTTAGCTTTCCTTCAGGCAAAATCCACAGCTGAAACGGCATTTCTGAAAGGATGATGTCTGGTCAGCAAAGTCATCATTTGACCACTGGAGAAACACAGCATTACTGGCTGATGTAGGTAGTCCCCTGCAGTGCCTCCCTCTAGCCTAGTGTGGGCTTTGCCCATAAAATCCTTCACCACAATCTTTCAAGACTCCTACCTTTGAAATTTAGGTGGGACTCCATGAGGTCTTTGTCTCAGTGCAGGCTTGCAATGTATCCCAAACTTGTATTAAGTGTACATTTGATAAAAACAGTCCGAGATAAACTAATTAAAGGAACAAGTGGGTCATCGGGGCACTTCAACGCTGTTGACAGGAGAGGGTCCCCTTCCACTCCCCGTTGGGGAAGACATCTGACCAGAACTGGGCTCCAAAAGCAGAGCTGTGTAATAATCTAGGAGGAATGAGATGCCTCCCAGTGGGACACGAGTGGGTTCAAATGCCTGTTCAGAACAGAAACAGACGGCA